TTCTAAAGGTATATATAACCAGAATTTTAGTACAATCATCGCAAGTTAGTGAATGGTACGTGCAATCCATAAAATACGAATACAGCTTTTTTTGATATATAGAATTTTACTTTTTATTAGCTTATTAGTTTCGATATTGAAAATTTGACAACGTTATAGATTTCAGATTCACTACTTGATCAACTTTGATCGTTTTATTTGATCATTAATTTGATGTACTTCTTCAATTTACTGTTTTTAAAGCATAGAGTACACTAAGAAACCAAAGATTTTTACTATATTAGTATTTCGTAAAACATGTGACACGAGGTCTGATAAGATGTCATGTTTATTCTGTACTTCATTGTGTGGTATATGTGCATTTTTCCCCCAATTGGGTGCAGTATCATAGATTATATAATTTTGAGGCAATTGATGCTTGAAGAATCCTTGATCCTTATTTTGTTCAATGAACATTATTGCCTGTTATAATTTCATTTGATTACCTTAAATCTTTTTTGTTTAAATTTATTAATTTACAACTTTTCTAGTAGTTATTTTTTAATATACTGTTATGCAGTAGTTATGTGCAGTACGGTTAGTGTAAGTTATGTTTTGTTTTTATCGTTGCATCGAGATTACTGAGGTAAGTTTCAAATTGCATATATTTTATTATATTGTCTCATGACTAATTATTATTTCTACTTATGTGTAGCATTTATATGAGTGTATAGATTATATAACCTATAGATAATAAAATTCTAACCTATGTATGAATAAAATTCTCATATAGTTATAGATTATGTATAAAAATACATATGAAAATATATTTCTCCAGTCTTCCTTCTTTGTAGATAAAGCAGTTTCATAGTATATGATCTATGTTTTCAGTTTCTAAATCATATTTATATTCTCATGATGCTATTAGGTATGCTATTTCTATATGACTTGTCCATATTCTGCTAAGCGTATATGTCATTCCTTTTGTTAGATTCTTTAATTTTGTGTATTATTATTTTCTTTTACTTTCGTTTGAATTAATTTTCAAAAAGTATTTATTACCTTTGTATTAGTATTTATTACTTATGTCCTTCTTCTGTCATCTTTTGAGCAAAATTTTTCCATTTTTCTGCTATATTGTTCACTAGTAGGTTAATTACTATTTTAATATTTTTATTCAATTCTTTGCTTATGTAGTTTTTATTGTGTTTGCTTTTTTCCTTTAACTTGTGCAACAATCTATGCGAATATTATTTTGTTATTGTTAGGTGTAATGTGAGACATTTATTATTATTGTTTAATGTAAATAATTCTATTAGTTTAATTATTTTTTGGATCCATGGTTTATTTTTTTTCTTTTTAACACCTTTATTGTTTTCAGGGCACTTTTGGAATCTATGAATATAATTTCTCTTGTAGGAAACATATCTCCAAAGTCTTTGAGATAGTGTCTGTAGTAAAGATGATGGCATGCTTATATATGCTTATATATACTTAATTTCTAGATCTTTGCTTATCTTACTGCTATATCTATTCCGTTTTCTGACCTTACATTAGTTTTCTTGGAATCATTTGTATACATTTCAAAACATTATTTATTGGTTTTTTCAGATATTTATTTATAATTTTTTTATTACTATTTTTTCCTTCATAGAACTGTTTTTTCCTATTTTTCGTTTTATTGTAAAGTTCTTTATAATTGTTAATATTGATGGATAAGTATTACATTTTTTCCTGATATTTTTTCCAGACTTTTTATCTTCTTGTAACATTTTTATAAGAAGATGTTTTTAGTGTTGTCATTATTGGTGGTTCTATATTTTAAATAATAAATAATAGTAGTAGTAACAAGTAAATAATTCTATTTACTAAATTTTTTAAAATTTTCATTAAGTATATGTAATAGGATGGGCTTGAAATCTTTTGGTTACTTTTTGATGATGAAGTAATTGATTGCATTTTTTCTTGGAGTTGATTTTCTATTAGTTTGTTCAATTCTTCTATTATTTTTTGGTCTTTTAGTTTTATAAATTGTTGTGATTTTGTGATTTTTTATTTCTTTGGATTCTTAATTCCATTATTGATTATTCTTTATTCCTTATTATTCTGTTTTCTCTGATTATGTTGCATCAAGCTTTTCAATTGTTTTAACTGGTTTTAAGGATTTTTGTTGTGTTTTCGACAGTTAGCAAATATGTTGTTTGCATTTTTTATTGATGTGTTTTCTCTCTTTTTATTTATTTATAAAGATTAATGATAATCCAATCTAAGCATCTCACCTGTTTCTTTTACTATTTATTTTATGAATAAGAAATTTCTGATTATAAGATCTATAATGGAAGATCTTTGATTTGCAGTTGCTCTTGATATAGCGGTATCATATGGTGTGATTATTTATGGTTATAGTATAAATATATACATCTTGATTCTCTAGCATGTCTAATAGTTATATACTTTTTTGTCGTTTTTCATGCAGTTACATTTTTTGTTTTTAATTATTCAAAATCTTGACAAAAATTGATGAGATATACACATTTATGCATAATTACTAGTATATGTTTTATTTATTTTTATTTTTCCAGAATTTTATTTTTATTTTTCTAGAATTGTGCAATTTAGTTCATAGTCCAGATTTATGCTTTTGTAGATCAAAATT